AACAGACAAGTGTGTGTCTGCTTGCTGTGTGCAAGTCTTTTATTTGCTTTCTCTGTGATAGCTTCTGTTAAAAATTTTAACTTCTTTCTGATTTTAAAATTTCTGTATCTTGGTGATTTCCTCCTTTGTGGAAAAATACTTTTGAATCTTCTACTACAATCTGTGTGATTAGTGTTTAAGATTCAAAGTTACGGCAATGATGATCCCAGACCATTAAGTGTGTTCATAATAATCCTTTATTGGTCTCAGGTGGAGAATTTGTTAAGTTTGAGCCCAATAAAATGATATATCTGTGATCTGGGCCAAACACTTAATAAATATAAGCCCAATTCGTGAAATCGGGCCCAGTGCAACATAAGCCCACTGATCCAGTCAAACTTCAATCTGGACCGTTTATTGCGGGGTTTTAATCTGAGTCCTCCATTTGCCCCATTCTTCTACTCACCTCTCAAACCCTAGCAGCACTTCTCGATGCGCCGTTTCTCTCTCTTCTCCTTGTCCCCTTCTCTCTCTACAGTATATCGTCACTCATTGTCGTTTTCCGGCGACACCGTCGCAGGTTTAGCCGGACAATGGGTGTACTTGCCGTCGCAGCTCATTTAATGTTGAAGACCGTTGAATCTTCGTGTATAAATACTGTAGTGAGAGAGAGAGAGACAGGTGTGATTCACCTTTTATTCAAACCGAGACTTTTATGGCCTTAATCCTCTTCTGTGAGGGTTTTGGCAGTCTGAGTGCAGAAATCTGGGTTTGTGCTGAGTGGAGAGGGTGAGTTATTCACTGAGTTGACTGTGCATATGTTGGTGAGTCAACTCAGAGTGAGTCTTGGGGTCAGATCTAGGGTTTCGGATCAGTGGCTGTTGCTTGGTGCTTGTTTTCAATTGGTGTTACCACCAGACATTGGATCGACTGTATGAACACTGGAAAAGGGAACTGAGCCGTTCTTATTCATTATACTGTTTTACTTCTCTTCCCTTTGTTTTAAACTGTTCTACGGATCTATGGCTGATTTTGGAAGAACCTGTACCTAACAAATATCGATATCTACATCGGTTTGATTGTAATTATGAAATATTCTGAGGGCTTTCATGTAATCCTCCGGTAACCAACCAGTCTTCTCGTAACGGTACTGAATCTCGTCATAAGATAATGTGCAGCCCAGTAAACAAGAGTTTTTCACTGGATTACAACTCGTGTATGTGTAATTATATCTACTCGCCATGCAGAATAAATGAAACTTCACCCTACTACTCGTATCTAATTACGGCGGCTGATCGACAGCGGCGGCGGCAAAGTGTGCGAACACCAAAATTGCGGCGGCGAGAATTGACTAGAATAAATTTCTTGCCCTGCTCGTTGCCATGGCTTTGTATTTAGATTTACTTGTATTCTGTGTTTGTGTTCGTGTGTAAATACTCTCTCTCTATATATATGGCAGAATATTACTTTAATTTGGACTCCGAAAAAGAATCAGAGTTAGATTAGAAAACCTTTGGACGAATGCGAAGGCGAAACTTAAAACCTCACGAAAAAATTCTTGAGCTTGGCTCTTGGGCCCATTTGTTTGACATGAGCCGGTTGAATAAATGTTGGGTTGCGTCTGTCGCGTATTCACACCTACACCCTAGAAATATGCTAAAATAATTTTAAGATCCATGTGGTATTGGTAATTGCAGCCTGTTAAGTGTATATTTATACACTTAATTGTACCTTTTAATTGGAGCTTTTGGTGTGTTTTAATGATAATTGGTGCTTAAAATGGCTATTATTTGTATTTTAGGTGCAAATTGGAGAATTGACAACTTTTGGGGTGAAAACTGCAATTTCGGAGAAAAAGTGGGCCAAAAGTGAAAAAAACAGAATTCTGGAGAATTAAAAGACCGCACGGCCGTGCGGATTTTAGTTCTCAATCTCACACGGCCGTCCGGATGGACGTGAAGGCGCAGTGAAGGAATTTTAATTACACAAGGAAACCCGCCCTATTATATTTTTGCACCCTATTTAAAGGCCAAGAGCACACAATTAGATCTATCTTTTATTTTTCATCTTTAATCTTTAGGGTTTTTATTTTTAATCTTTCTACACGCAATCAAGGAGCACAAGAACGAAGACGAAGACTTGACGAATCTTCATCATAGTTCTCCTCTTTTATTGTTATTTATAGTTTTATGATTTTTCGTATTTTTATTATGTTTTTCGTAACGAACATGCGTAGCTAAGTTTTTAATCTAGGATTTTGTTGGAACCCTATGTAGGGATTGTGAACCCTTTTTCTTGAGATTATGCAATTATGATTTTATGATTATTTCCTCTACTTGATATGATTGTTAGTGCATGAACTTGATCAATTTATGTGCTTTATCTGTGATTATTGGGATTGACTCGACAGAGCTATTTTGATAATTAGACGGTGAGTAGAAGAGCCTTCGAGTAGTTTTCACCGGATGAGTGTGTCAATTGCATGTGGTGTCGTAGACATACAGATATCACCTTAGGTAGCCATTTACGAGACTTGTTAGTTAATGCTTTATTCATAATTGGTTTGCATAGACATATAGTGAATCGTTTATGAGTAATAGACTCATAATACACGCGACAGCGGGTTATGAGTAAATTAGTGTCTCGGGTTAATAATCATGAATCATATATTTCATAATTGAGGGGTTTTGGGTGAGCAATTCTTGCATAGGGGGAAGATAAAATCCTAGGTCCGTTTTAATTGATATTTTCCCGTGTTATTTGCTTTCTTAATTAGTTTAGTTGTTTAATTAATTTAATTTGACAAACTTGCGTAGGCTGGATAAAAATCATAATTGTTAGAATTTGGTACTTAGGATTAGGTAATTTGCGTATTCCCTGTGGGATCGACATCCGACTCTCACGAGTCCACTTTATTACTTGTTTGCGATACGTGCACTTGCGTGTTGGTATTTAGCACCCAACAAGTTTTTGGCGCCGTTGCCGGGGAATACGGCTAAATTATTTATTTATCCTAATATTAAATTTGAGCAATTTTTCTTACTTCAGCCAATTTTTTTTATTTTGTTTAATTTTTATTTTTATTTTTTTTTAGGTACTTTTTTATGCGAAGAGGACACGACACGAGCCTGCTACCTCTTGACCCCGAAATTGAGCGAACGTTTAGGCAAGCCAGGAGAAATCAACGGTTAGCCCAAACCACTCCAGCAACGATGGAAGACGAGAATAATCGTGGAGAGGGTGACCAAAGGCGCCCACCGAATGTGGCGAGAGAAATCGTCAACGAGCAAGAGCAACGCCAGCTGATTAATCCACCGCCTCGTCAACGAGCACTGCATGAGTACACCGTTCCAACGCTTAATGGGTTTCAATCAAGCATCCAGCAGCCCCCCATTGAAGCCAACAATTTCGAGATTCGAGCGGGACTCCTCACGATGCTTCAAAACAATGGTTTATTCAGCGGATTGGCTCATGAAGACCCACACCTCCACTTGGTCAACTTCCTCGAGACGTGTGACTCGCACAAGATGAACGGAGTAACACCCGAAGCACTGCAACTCCGCCTGTTCAAGCACTCCCTACAAGGAGCAGCCCGAGAATGGTTGCAAACTCGCGCACCGCACTCCATCTCGTCTTGGGCCCAGCTAGCGCAACTTTTCATGAACACATACAACTCACCAACAAAAACTGAGAGAATCCGGAGAGAAATTCAAAATTTCATACAAGAAGCCGGTGAAGCATTATTCGAGACGTGGGAGCGGTTCAAGCAGCTAGTAAGGAGGTGCCCGAATCACGGACTTCAAGAGTGGCGCCAATTGCAAATATTTTACGATGGATTGCAAGACAACTCGAGAACCGTGCTTGATTCGGCCGCTGGAGGTATGTACATGAGTTTGACCTACGACGAAGCATACGAGCTCTTGGAACGAATCGCTAGGAATAAATACATGCGAGCATCGGACCGGTCGAATAGCGGAGCAGTCAAGACGGGCGGAATTTTGGAGTTAGATGGAGTCACCACAATCACGGCCCAATTGGAGAAGCTATCGAAGCAAGTAGCGGCTTTGCAGGCTCAGCAAGTCCACGCAGTCCAAGTTCCCGACCAACGCATAGAAGAAACGGAGTCTCTGAATTATGTGCATGACACCAACCGACAACAGAGGAACCCGTACCCCAACACGTACAATCCCGGATGGAAGGATCACCCCAACTTTGGATGGGGAGGAAATCAGCAAGGACAAAGGCAAGCACCACCTCAAGCTCCACCCCAAGGAGTTGACCTCGCTGACATCTTAGCAAAATTCATGACGGCGACTCAAGCATCCATTCGGAACCTTGAGACACAAATGGGGCAACTTGCAACCCAACTAAACGCGAGGCCATCGGGAGCACTGCCGTCGAATACGGAAGATCCTCGAAAGAGCAACATCGAGCAGTGCAATGCTGTGAGTTTGCGAAATGGGAGGCAATTAGAAGAAGTTCCTAAAAAGTCCGTTGCACCACCGCCTATTGTAGAGGAGCCCAAGGAAAAAACCGAGGTCGGGCCAAGCAACACAAAGATCACAGTAAGTGAACCTACTCCCAAGGTACCTTTCCCTCAACGTTTTCAAAACTCTAAGCTTGATATGCAATTTCAGTCATTTTTGGATTATCTTAAAAAATTGCATGTTAATATTCCTTTTGTTGAGGCACTTAAGCATATGCCGAATTGGGTTAAGTTTATAAAGGAACTTGTATCGAAGAAGATGAGGCTTCCGGAGTGTGCAGCAATCATAGACCTCAATGAGCAAAGTAGTGCTATCCTTGCAAATAAAATTCCACCGAAGCTTAGAGATCCGGGCAGTTGTACCATTCCATGCACAATAGGTACTAGGTATTTTGGGCGGGCGTTGTGTGATCAAGGGGCGAGCGTAAATTTAATGCCTTTATCAATTTATGAGAAATTGAATTTAGGAGAAATTAAGCCTACTTCCGTGACCTTGCAGCTAGCCGATAGATCTTTTACTCACCCTTTAGGTATAATGGAGGATGTATTGGTCAAGGTAGATAAGTTCATACTCCCGGCCGATTTTCTAGTACTAGACATAGAGGAAGATGAAAATATTCCCCTTATCTTAGGACGCCCATTCTTAGCAACCGGTAGGTCAATTATTGATGTAGGAAAGAGAGAGCTAAGAATGAGTGTGGGGGAAGAAACAGTGATCTTCAAGGTGTACCGGGTGGATGAAAAGCCTATTACGGCTAATGGATGTTATCTTCTTGATGAGGTAAGTGATTCTAAACTTTTTCCTGTTAAATTACATGATTTAAATTTTTTTGTGGATACTAATGTGCATGTAGGAGAACATAAGAAAAATGTTGAGTTGGTTACAACACCTACTCAAAACACCGTGATAAAAGACGATGTTGGCAAGCCTCATGACATCAAGAAGAATGAATTCAAGGGCAGTCCTAAGCGAACCAGTCGAAAGAAGAATCGGATCAACCCATTTATTCAAGACTTTCTCCAAAAGGAAGTTAGGAGATGGGTTCAAAAGCTAAGGAATTAAAGAAGCAGACAACGTCCGGCTGAAGACTGTAAACTTAGCGCTTCTCGGGAGGCAACCCGAGCTTTCGTTTTTCTTTTCTTTTATTTTATTTTATTATTTGTGTTTTTATTTATTTAACTTGTTAGTGTTTGCTCTTATTTTATTCCAACTTTGAAAAAAAAAAAAAAAAAAAAAAAAAAAAAAGTTTTAGGGGCACTAATAGGAAGTTTTTATTTTGCAGGGACCTAATTGCAATTATTCACACGGCCGTGCAAGAAAAGGGCAGGAATCTCACACGGCCGTGTGAAATTTCGGGGAAGCTACTGCCCAAAATAGGAAAAGGGCACGGCCGTGCGGATTTTACACTTAAATCTCGCACGGCCGTGCGAAATATGAAGAGCTACTGCCCAAAATTGGAAAATGGCACGGCCGTGCGGATTTTTCACCTAAATTTCGCACGGCCGTGCGGAAAAAAAAAAAAAAAAAAAAAAAAAAAAACAATTTCCATAATTCCCAAATCCCCTCTCTCCCCCAATTCGAACCCTCGTCTTCTTTTTTTCGAAATTTTCCCTTTTCTTTGACAAATTTCACCGAAAATTTACCAACTACACACATATACTACGTAATCAAGGTGGTTTATTGTTGATTTGCGCAGGGAGATTCAAGAACGGTGCACTTTTCTCGAAAAAACCCATTCCACCAAGAACGCCCACAAGGTGTTCGACGAAGTGCCCAAGTCAAGTTTGGGGGAAATTTTGCACACCAATTCACTCCAAAGCTCCTCCACCAGCATCCTCAAATTATGGGGAAACGAGAACGTGACGGGTAGGGCACCTCACACGACGATGGTCCCGACGCTTAGACAGGTGTTTTCTATCCTTAAACTTTGGGCGAATCACATTGAGGGCAATGTGAATTTTAAGTTTGGGGGTGGTTATATTTGTGTTTTGCTTGTTTGTTAGTTTGCTTGCGTTATTTTTTTTGCTTTAGTTATCGTTTTATTATTCGAAAAAAAAAAAATAATAATAAAAAAAAAAATTTTTGGTTCGACGCATCGATGAATTATGATGATGGGAGATGGCCAATGTTTGATGATGAAATTGCTTGCTTTATGTGATAAGGAGTTGGTATTTGTTTAGCTTTCGATTCAACGGAACGTAGAAGTGAATTATTGCTAGGAATCACACCTTATGCATTGCTTTGGTTGAATGTTTTGTATTTTAAATTTGGAATTTATTTGTGCTAAATCATGCTTTGTTCGGTTTTAAATCTCACCTTAGGACATTTATGATACGAAGTGTTGGGTAGTAAGTGATTTGGGATATGATTTAGGCCTTCTTTGAACCGTTTGAGCCTTTCAAGCCTACCCTTTTTGTCAAATTTATCCTTAGAACCTTGATTTGAGCCTCGGAGAAAAGGTGTTCTTTCTTTTAGCCAATATGTAAAAGGAAGAAAAGTGGAGATTCTTGAATAATTATCCCTTGGAGGTCGATCGAAAATTCTTATAAGATCTTTCTTCTTCTTCGAAAAAAAAAAAAAAAAAAAAAAAACAAAAAAAAAAAAAAAAAAAAAAGATAAAAAGAGAAATAGATATATATGTGCATCTTTATATATATATCTAAATTCCTCGATTCGAAAAACAAACAAACCAAAAAAAAAAAAAAAAAAAAAAAAAAAAAAAGAGAGAGAAAAAGAAGAAGAAGAATAGATTAGAAGGGAGAAATAAGGACTAGTGGATGAATTGTGTTGAAAACTCGAGTCATTGCCTCAAGGCAAAAGTGTTGACGTGTGAATTTTGGAGAATCGAGTTTATTAAAGTCCCTAGAGGTGAATTCATTGTTTCAAACGCCTATCTCTCAAATTTTGGCGTAATCACCTCAATTCAAGAAAATTAGCCACACATTCCCATATTACCTACCTCGGACCAAAGAGCCTAACAATTGAAAGCCACAAAGTCCCAATGATCCCAAGAGCTTATTGTTCAATATTAGTTGAGTAGAATAATTTGGTGAGTATTTGGAGTCAAATATATGCATGTAAGTATAAATTATTTCTTTCTTTAACTTGCAAATATTGGATACTTGAAGCAATTGTATGATTTGTGGTTTTTGGTAATAATGAGTGACTAAGTGCCGTTGAATGTTAAGCTTGCGAATACCTATGAATTGTCATCATAATTGCAAGTTCTGAAAACGCGAAGTTGACCCATCGATCTATGTAATGAGATGTATGGTTTTGTTTTGTGCTATTTTATTTGATTTTACTTGAGGACAAGCAAAAGTTCAAGTTTGGGGGTGTGTTAAGTGTATATTTATACACTTAATTGTACCTTTTAATTGGAGCTTTTGGTGTGTTTTAATGATAATTGGTGCTTAAAATGGCTATTATTTGTATTTTAGGTGCAAATTGGAGAATTGACAACTTTTGGGGTGAAAACTGCAATTTCGGAGAAAAAGTGGGCCAAAAGTGAAAAAAACAGAATTCTGGAGAATTAAAAGACCGCACGGCCGTGCGGATTTTAGTTCTCAATCTCACACGGCCGTCCGGATGGACGTGAAGGCGCAGTGAAGGAATTTTAATTACACAAGGAAACCCGCCCTATTATATTTTTGCACCCTATTTAAAGGCCAAGAGCACACAATTAGATCTATCTTTTATTTTTCATCTTTAATCTTTAGGGTTTTTATTTTTAATCTTTCTACACGCAATCAAGGAGCACAAGAACGAAGACGAAGACTTGACGAATCTTCATCATAGTTCTCCTCTTTTATTGTTATTTATAGTTTTATGATTTTTCGTATTTTTATTATGTTTTTCGTAACGAACATGCGTAGCTAAGTTTTTAATCTAGGATTTTGTTGGAACCCTATGTAGGGATTGTGAACCCTTTTTCTTGAGATTATGCAATTATGATTTTATGATTATTTCCTCTACTTGATATGATTGTTAGTGCATGAACTTGATCAATTTATGTGCTTTATCTGTGATTATTGGGATTGACTCGACAGAGCTATTTTGATAATTAGACGGTGAGTAGAAGAGCCTTCGAGTAGTTTTCACCGGATGAGTGTGTCAATTGCATGTGGTGTCGTAGACATACAGATATCACCTTAGGTAGCCATTTACGAGACTTGTTAGTTAATGCTTTATTCATAATTGGTTTGCATAGACATATAGTGAATCGTTTATGAGTAATAGACTCATAATACACGCGACAGCGGGTTATGAGTAAATTAGTGTCTCGGGTTAATAATCATGAATCATATATTTCATAATTGAGGGGTTTTGGGTGAGCAATTCTTGCATAGGGGGAAGATAAAATCCTAGGTCCGTTTTAATTGATATTTTCCCGTGTTATTTGCTTTCTTAATTAGTTTAGTTGTTTAATTAATTTAATTTGACAAACTTGCGTAGGCTGGATAAAAATCATAATTGTTAGAATTTGGTACTTAGGATTAGGTAATTTGCGTATTCCCTGTGGGATCGACATCCGACTCTCACGAGTCCACTTTATTACTTGTTTGCGATACGTGCACTTGCGTGTTGGTATTTAGCACCCAACACAGCCACACCCTTGAAACAAGTATCAAAGCCAAAATTTCATATCTTGGGGATCAATATGCACTATATTGTTTTTTCTGCGGGGCCGAAGCTTATATAAAATAATAGGGATAAGGGTTTAAGAAATGTTGGGGGAGTTTTGTCACCCCTAGTTTTATGTTTTCTCCACAACTTTCTGAAACTAATAGTTCGTTATAACCTTAATAGAATAACGTATCCAATGCATTATTTCGTTAGGTTTCTAACAATGTTTCAGGGAGTTCATTGTAATTACCAATACCACAAGGAACCTTAAATTATTTTAACATACCTTTGTCTCAAAGGTATAGGTGTAATTTACCCTATTTATAATTATGTATAATCCAAAATAATGTTAGGGAAAATTGCACTTTGCCCTTAAAAGGGAAAAAAATGAGACATCCCTGCAAAATATGTTTATGTTGCACTTTTCCCAATAGTCAGACTTCCAGCGTATTTTTTGTCGGAATTGACAAAACCTGCTTTTACTCAAAGGGTATTGCCGTCATATCACCATCCCATCAAATCCAAACCATAATATATATTCTCTTTTGCACAACAACCGTCAAACACTCCACTCCCATTTCACCAAATAATTTCAGGAAAAAAAAGTAGGGATTTTAGTCCAAAAAATGTGAGAATCTTTCATTGTTTCTTCGATTAGAAAGCTATCCCAGTGTTCCCGTCACAAGTGTTCAAAAATCAAGAGAGAAGGAACACAAAAAAAGACAAGGGTAATGTGTGGTTTCAATTCGAACAATTTATAATTTTGCGAGAGAAGAATCCTAATTTTTCAATCCTAATATACAATTCGTGGGTTATATGAATGGGAATGACAAAATTACATGTATACTCTGGAATGACGGCAATCCCCTTTGAGAGGACCAATTCCAATACAAAATTCGCCTGCAGTTTGACTTTGGGCAAAGTGTAACAAAAATATATTTTGCACGGGGATATCTCTTTTTTTTTAGGGGGTAAAGTGCGAATGTTTAAAATTTTTTGGGGGCGAAGTGCAATTTGGCCAATGTAATTTTTGTCTTACTTAATCGAAAGTGCAATTTAGTAAGGGTTAAATACAAAAACGCCCCTGTACTATGGAGTTTGTATCATATACCCCCTGTACTACACAGAAATACAAAAAACCCCCTCACATTACATTTTTTCCAAAATATGACGAAAATACCCCCGTTAAGCCTATAAATATATTTGTTTGAGCCATTTTCCACTATATTTATTAACATTTTCGGTCAATTTTAATTGGAAATTTTTTATATTTTTATTTTTTTCTCCAAAAAATTTAATTACTAAGAGTTTTTTTTTATTTTCTGAATAAAACCTTTAATTTTTTTCATTTTGAATTTCTTCCTTTTTTGTTAAATCTTACGGTAGTTCAAATTCTCAACAATCATAGGATTTTAAAGATGTTTGTAATCTTAGGATGTTTGAACTACAAGAAGACATTTAAGAGAAAAAAAATGAAGAAACTCAAAATGACATAAATAAAAGTTTTTATTCAGAAAAAAAAAATATAAGCAATTGGATGTTTTGGAGAAAAAAAATTAAAGGGATTATTTTGTAGACCCCCCTCATTTCCAAATTAAATAGAACTAACTACCAAGTGGATTGCATCCTAGGGGAAACCCCCCTCATTTCGAAAATATTTTGATATACCCCCCTGGGATACCCTGAAGTTCCTATAATACCCTTCTAAAATCAGTTTTAAACCCTAGCCACTCACGGTCTCTCTCTTCTTCTCCCTGATTCAAAATCCCGCCTCCACAAACCTCCCACCGGCGAAATTGCTTCCCGGAGCCATAACTCTCTCTCCGGTGGTCGGAATTCGATGGTTTAACTACCGTTGGATTCCTCTCGTCGAGCTCCTTCTTTTAGTGGTGATTTCATTCAGTTTTGAGCGCTGATCTGTTTCTGCAATTTTTTTTCATCCGAGGACGGTGGCCTTGCCGGAGCTTTATTTTGTGTTCCACCCGTCGAAATTTGACGGGTCACCCACCGTTGGATTCCTCTCGTCGGGATCTACATTTTCATGGTAATTTCGTTTATTTTTATATTTTCAGATTTATTTCTATATTTTTTTGCATTTGTGGGCGCGCGGAACCGTGAGTGGTTATTAGCGGCGTCTAGGGTTTTGGTAGGAGGAGGTGAGCAGTCACTGTCTGTTTGATTTAAAATCTGTAGCATTTCCCAGCAATAACCTCTCTCTCTATCTCTCGATCTCTTAGTGTTTGTTGTTTTTTGAGTGTTTTGATGTTTTTCTTCAAATTTTGTTGATTTGCACTAAAGTAATTTCGTTTTGTTTTGATTTTGCAATTGCAGCTTAATGAAGGCCATTGATCCTTTCCTTGAAGATGTCAAATTTTGTTTTTGAAGTTACATCTGATTTGTTCAACAGACTGTCTACATTACTGTACATTACTATACATTACTATAGTAACATGTAGTTATATATGCGTATATTTGTGTATTTTCGATTTGTTATTTGTATTTTATTGGTTCAGATGTGATTTATAATAAAAATATTGAAATTTGTAAATTTTTGTTGGGGTTTTATGAATTTATTTTGTATAAGTCAGTATTCGTGTGTATATACAATTGATCGACTAAAAACATGGGGAAAAAAAACGAACATAACTATGAATTACTATAGGTACTATAGTTACATGTAGTTATTTTTAGTACTGTAAACATATTGTTTTGAAAATTAAAAAAGAAAATTAAAAAAAATTTAAATTTTTTTTTATTATTTTTAAGTTAAAAAAAAAAAAAAATAATAATAATAAATAAATGAGCGAAAATGATAAATGCAGGACCATATATGCGGATGCAGTTTGGCCGAAAATTGCATATAAGGGTAATATAGTACTTTCGCTTCTCCAGGAGGGTATGTCAAAGGATGATTTGGGCTTGGGTTTATCCCTAGTTTATTTGGTGGCTAGGGGGATATGTAAAATAACCCCAAAATTTAAATACCAAAATTTTCCACGTAAAATTGACTGAAAATGGTAAAATATATAGTCGAAAATGGCTCAAACAAACCATTATATATATATATATATATATATATATATATATATATATATATATATATATATATATATATATATATATATATATATATATATATATATATATATATATATATATATATATATATATATATATATATTTTTAACCGAAAACGTGAAATGTCTATTATATCCTTCTGTTAAATATGTAAAAAATAAAGGGCAAATTACCAAAACCCCCCTGAGGTAAGCCTAAATAACGAAAATCCCCCCTGACATCCCTTTCAGTTGATGATTTATTGATTTTATAAATTTATTTATTACTTTGTAATTTGTATTGATAATTTGATATTATAATTTTTAATTTTTTTTATTTATATATTTTAATTGATTTTATTTATCCAGAGGAGTATTCATACGGATTTATGCTTTTAGCTTGAATGATGCATGGTTGTATTTCTCGAATTGTAAAATATTGAATTTTATATATAAAAAATAATTAAATTTTGAAATCTCATTCATTGATTTTTTTTAATCCAATAAAAATACATTGTACATTCATAATGATTGATTATATTTGGATTTAATTTAAGAAAAATAAGTATTTTGTACATTCATAATGACCCCTCATTAAATAAAATGCTTACAATTACCCCCCTAAGGTTAATTTCGTGTACAAGGGCAAAATTGGTATTATCGGAGGAATATTCGGGAGAATCAAAAAGATTCTATCGAGTCTAACACCGTTAGAGCGATTTGTAAGACGTCTGCATACTTCAGGGGGGTTTTCGTAATTACGAGAACATGGGGGGGATTTTCGTTATTTAGGCTTACCTCAGAGGGGTTTTGGTAATTTTCCCTATATATATATAATATATATATGTGTGTGTGTGTGTGTGTGTGTGTGTGTGTGTGTGTGTGTGTGTATGTGTATGCTTGAGTAGGGGTATTTTGGTCATATTTTGGAAAAAATGTAATGTGAGGGGGATTTTTGTATTTATGTATAGTACAAGGGGGTAAATGATACAAAGTTCATAGTACAGGGGTGTTTTTGTATTTAACCCATTAAGTAATTTAAACCTTTGCCCACAACTAATTCCGTTCAACATCAGTCGAGAAGGACACGTGGCCAACTGCCGTTCATCTTCCCTAGTTTCCTCTCCGCAAAACTCTACCGGCCATAGTCACAGTCCCCCCAACAAATTTCCGTTTTCGAATGTAACTTCCCACTATAAACCTCTTCAAATCTCCCCCAATTTTATTGAGGTTTTATTGTATATCTAGGTCATGGGACGATCATGATTTGTTATCGGTGTTGCCGGAGTTTAATTCCAGTAGTCAGCATTGTTCGACGAGTGCTCGATTAAAGTCTATTGCTCCTTACAGTGGACGAAAGGATACAATTGTTTATGCAACTGATTCGCACACCGGAAAGGTGGTTCGTTACCATGTTTATGTCGATGCAATATCGAGGATTCAAATATTCAACACCCCTCCCAAGCTTGATGTCGATAATCTTGCTACCCTATCGGTGCGTGCCTTTGATAGTGAAGGTATACTTATTTTTTTTTTTTTTTGCAAATTTCTTTTTGTTTCGTTGTATGAAGGTTTGCATATTTTATTTCGTGTATTGGCTTATGTGTTTTTTTTTTCTCCTTGTGGCTACAGATAATGTCTTTTCCTCCTTGATGGGCCTGCGATTCATGTGGCAATTGATGGCCGAAACTCACGGATTGCCTCGTAACCTCGTCCATGTTCCTCTAAAGGACTCTCCGATGAGTGATTATGGTGGCTTTTTCGGTGATTTGGATATCCAAGTAAATCTTGAAGAAAGTGGTGTTTTCTCGGATTTGTGTGTTGTGAAAGGCACTGAAATTGGCGTTTCGATTGTCTCTGTGAGTTTACTAGAATCATCGTCCCGGTACTTGAAAGACGAGATTACTTTGACAGTTGCAGAGGCGATGTCTCTCGATCCTCCATCACCCGTGTATGTCCTCATCGGCGCAGTTGTCCGTTATACCCTCAAATCCATCCGTAGTAATACGCCACGAGTCGTGAGCCTACCATCTCCATTCCATCACTGGTCGGCCTCAAACTCTTCGGTTGCTGAGGTGGACGGAGAAACGGGTACAGCTCGTGCGTTGGGCTTGGGGGCAACACAAGTTGTTGTTCGAGACACCCGAATTCTCGGACAGATGCAGATATCATCTCTCCATATTGTCTTGCCCGATAATTTGTTGCTATTTCTGAGGCCACTCTATCTTTGTGGTGACTGTAATATTCCCGCAGCGTCGCGTTGGTATTTAGTGGCTGGCCAACGATATATCATTCATTTAAAAGGCTTTATCGTCGACAGAAACGGGTACGCATGAGGTTTTTATAACAGCGAACGACGAGATTGTGATTGATCTGGCTCATTGGGGGTAGTTTTTCTGCGATATTCTCCCGGTTTCAGTTAGAGTTGCTAATAAGAACAAGTACAGAATACTAATTGCATATTCATCTGGATCTGGAGAGCTTATAGCGACTTTGGCTTACCGCACTGGGCATGGTATTACGAAAGAAGTTCTCAAGGTTTCTCAAGAATTCACGGTTTGTGATCAAGTTGAGTTCGTTAAGGAACGAGCGGGTAACTGTTTTAACAGAATTCTCCTCCCGTGGGTCCCGAGTGTCTACTAGGAGTTTCAGCTAAAAGCAAGCGGAGGTTGTGCTGTGTTTTCCAGCCACTATAAATGGCTATCTTTAGACGCAACGGTTGTGTCTGTATCTGCCTCGGGCATTGTTCGGGCAAGAAAGCCCGGAAATGCAACTATTAGAGTAGTGTCGATTTTCGATCCATTGAATTATGATGAGATGGTTATTGAAGTTTCTGTCCCTTCTTCGATGATCATTCTGCCTATCTTTCCCGTGGAGGTGCCTGTCAGGTCACATCTTCTAGCTTCTGTGACATTGAGAGCATCGAGCGGCGCGTATTTCCATGCATGTGATGCTTTCGGGTCATATATAAGATGGAAAACCGAGAGCGAGTCTTTTGTAATTGTCAACGCAACTCTGAGATTATTGGCTGTTCGACTCAATTCCTCGTCGTCGTCGTACGGCCCTGCTTGCGCATCGACTCTCATTTACCCATCGGGTCCCGGCCGCACCATCGTGCATGCAACATTAAATAGAGAGAATCGACCCTCGGAATCTAATGTCTTTAATGTTTCCTTACGTGTTGCTGCATATTCACCGCTTACTATACACCAGGCGAGCGGCGGGAACCGTTTTGGTGGTTACTGGTTTGATACGGCTCGTATTGGATCTTGGAACGAGCTCGGGAGATCGGATGATGTCAATCTCGCACTCGGAACATACTTGGATGTAATGCTTTCTGGGGGACCAGAGAGGTGGGGCGAGGATGTCGAGTTCGTTGAAACTGTCGATGTAATCGACGAGGGGAAAACTAATGCGAAAAGTAGAATTTTCTTTGATCGTATATTGACCGTTAACGGTAATTTATACCGAATAGGATGCAAAAGTTTGGAGCCTTTCTCGGTTATTTTCAGAAGGGGGAACCTAATGGGCGAAGAGCATCGTTTTCCAGGTATATCTGAAGCTGAAATGGTGCTTACAAGTAGCTACCCATCTTATATTGTAATAATACCCGACGCAGAATTGAATGCTCATCCAGTTATACGGTCTGCAAGGGGGGCTGAAAGAACGGTTACAGTAGCCAACGGACGCGAAATTCGAATGTCCGCTGTTGGAATCAGTAATTTCGATATAGCTTTCGCGAATTCGTCTTTGTTTATTTTAAGGTGGGAATTAAGTGGTTGCGAAGGGCTGGCGGTTTTCGATGATTCGAAAGGGTATTTGAGCTGGGAAAGGTTTTTGAAATTGCAAAATACATCCGGACGGTGCACCGTGCTGTCACGGCCCGCTAGTTTTGGCCCAACCACTTGTCAGTTTCCCTTGGGTTGGGAGGTTAAATAGCTCAAGATTTAGCCCAAATAGGGTCAGGCCCAAGAGTGGCCCAAATGTATAGAGTAGAGATTCTTGGAGTATTCTAGAAAATATTCTAGAATCCTCTCTTGTAGATATTTTTGTAGGAATTCTTTGGAGTGTTCTAGTGAACCACTCTCAACCGTTAGATCAAATAGATCTCCACCGTCCATTGAGGAGGTGGTCTAGTATAAATAGAGGTAGGGTCCTCATTTGTAACCATCCAAGAAATCCAACAAGCACTTAAGCAATAAAAGTATTTTCCTACAAACTCTCTCTTATCTTCTTAAGTTCTTCTTTTGTTTTCCATCACTTAGCATTCGCAACACCTTCGGGAAAGACTGACTTAGCTATCGCGATGGGCGAGAAGGAGTTAAGGCCGCACGGTTCAAGGAAAGACTGACTTAGCTATCGCGATGGGCGAGAAGGAGTTAAGGCCGCACGGTTCAAGGGAACAAGTCCGTGACAATGCGTTCCACTATCGTCGGCTTCAATGATTCTCTAAGCAATCCCGATTTGTCTATGGTGCTCGGGAGTTACGTAGATCTAACTGCTGCAATCCAGCTGCAGCTTGTTTCGCCGATTAGAGTGAATCCGGAATTCAGCTTGTCGTTTTTCACTCCCGTAGCTAGGTTGAATATCTCGATTATCGGAGGAAGCTGTAACTTTGACAGATTGGTTAACGATACTGAAATTGTGGAAATACGTGCTTGTGATGACTGTTCGCTGTTGGGTGCTAAATACCTAACACGCAAGTGCACGTATCGCAAACAAGTAGTAAAAGTGGACTCGTGAGAGTCGGGTGTCGATCCCACAGGGAATACTCAAATTATCTAATCATAAGTACCAAATTCTAACAACTATGATTTTTATCCAGCCTACGCAAGGTTGTCAAATCTAATCAACTAAATAATCAAACTAATTATGAACGCAAATAGACACAAGAAAATATCAATAAAAACAGACCTAGGATTTTATCTTCCCCTATGCAAGAATTGCTCACCTAAAACCCCTCAATTATGAAATATATGATTCATGATTATTAACCCGAGACACTAATTTACTCATAACCCGTTGTCGCGTGTATTATGAGTCTATTATTCATAAACGGTTCACTATATGTCTATGCAAACCAATTATGAATAAAACATTAACTAACAAGTCTCGTAAATGGCTACCTAAGGTGATATATGTATGTCTACGATAGACACGGCCACGGGCCGGTTTGGGCCCCGAACCGGCCCGTTGACGGCCCGTTGACCGAGTGAACCGGCCCGTCCTACCCGGGACGGGCCCGGTTATGAGAAATGGTGAACCGTGAACCGCCGGGCCGGCCCGGCGGTTCACCCGGATTTAAAAAAAAAAAAAAAAAATTCAAAAAAAATCAAAAAAAAAAAGCAAATAACGGCTAGTGAACCGGCCCGGGTGAACCGGCCGTTATTTACTTTTTTTTGAATTCCCCCCCCCCCCCCCAATTTTTCCTATAAATACCCTCACACCCCAACCCAATTTTTCTATTTAAAAGTACTTCTTTTAATTTACTTATTCATAAAATATTTCAAAAAATCATTTAAAATTCGAAATCTTTAGAATTTTGAATTTAAAATTAAGTTCAGGTCTTTTCATTTATTTCCTTTTCCTTTTTCTATTTAAAAGTACTTCTTTTAATTTACTTATTCATAAAATATTTCAAAAAATCATTTTAAATTCGAAATATTTAAAATTTTGAATTTAAAATTAAGTTCAAGTCTTTTCATTTATTTCCTTTTCCTTTTTCTATTTAAAAGTACTTTTTTTAATTTACTTATTCATAAAATATTTCAAAAAAAAAAAAAAAAAATCAAAATCAAAATTTCCGGGCCGACCCGGAACCGGCCCGGATAGGCCCAGAACCGGCGGGCCGACCCGGCCCGCTGAACCGCCCATACTACGGGCCGGTTCCGGTTCCGGAAAATGTGAACCGTGAACCGGTTTGAACCGGCCCGGAACCGGCCCGTGGCCGTGTCTAGTCTACGACACCACATGCAATTGACACACCCATGCGGTGAAAACTACTCGAAGGTTCTTATACTTACCGTCTAATTATCAAAATAGCTCTGTCGAGTCAATCCCAATAATCACAAATAAAGCACATAAATTGATCAAGTTCATGCACTAACAATCATAACAAGTAGAAGAAATAATCATAAAATCATAATTGCATAATCTCAAGAAAACGGGTTCACCATCCCCACATAGGGTTCTAACAAAATCCTAGATTAAAAACTTAGCTACACATGTTTTCTACGAAAAACATAATAAAAGTAATAAAATTCATAGATTAAGAAAAGATAGGTGAAAGAAGAATTATGATGAAGATTTGTCAATTCTCCGTCTTCGTTTCTTCGTTCTCCCACTCCTCTTCCTCCCAGATTGTGTTCTAAAGTCCTCTAATTCGTGCTTGGTTTGCCCTTAAATAGATGCCCCAACTTGGTAGAAGAATTTAGGTTTCCTTGTGTGATTAAAAGTCCACAATTGTCTCTAGCGTGTTTTGGCGCGGCCGCGCGAAAATCAGTGTAATTCTCACACGGCCGCACGAGAATCGCCTAAACCTTCTGCCCTCATTCTGCAGTTGGCGCGGCCGCGCCAAAAATAGGCTAAATTTGGCACGGCCGCGCCGGCCAATTTTCAGCATATTTTTGTTTTCTTCCGTTTTTTCTCCTTTTTAACCCTTTTTGGCTCGTTTCTTCCTTGGAACTCCCAAATCGTCAAGTTGTACCTAAAATACAATAAACCACTCATTAAGCATCATTAAATCAATAAAAGTATACAAAAAATCCTCGTAAGAAAGTATACATTGAGTGTAAAATATACACTCAACATTCGCAACTAACATTGGCTCCTAAAGGTGTGGGTTATGCACTTGTGACAGTTGGCGATATCGGACTCGTTCATCCTCTTTCTGCATCTTCCACCGTCCAAGTTGCGGAAATGGATTGGATTAAGATTTTAACGGGAGGACACATACGCATTATGGAGGGAAGTTTCGAGTCTGTAAATATTTCGGTTGGGGTTGATGATGGGCGTGTTTTCGACCCGGCTCAGTACGTTTACATGGGGATTTATGTCGATATCGAGGAAAATATAGTTGAGGTTGTCGACGACTATGATTTTTCGATTTTGTCATAGAGATGCGTACGTGGGCAAAACTTGGTATTACAAGCTATGCGTCTTGGGGTGACAACCATATATCTTAGCGCTATCAAACCTTCTGGACATAAAATACTGAGCCAACCGGTTATGCTGGAAGTATATTTTCCACCAAGATTACATCCCAGTGATATATTCCTTGTACCAGGCTCGTCATATTCGGTATTACAGTACAGATGATCAGACAACCCAAAGTCACAAGTTTTCGGGACGACTTTCTGCAATTTCACCTGGGAACTGTACCTTAATTGTAACATATGGTGATGGTGACATCATACTTTTGCCAAGCATATGGAAAAGTTAAAAGTAGGGATTCCTTCGGCAGCGGTTCTAAGGGGCTCCGATCGGTTAAAGTAAAATGCTATGTAAAAAGGTGAAAAGTCTATCTAATTTATTTTTCTTGTTTGGTTAGAAAGTAAAATAGGAAGAAAAGTAACTTAGAGAAAAAGAGGAAAAAAAATTAACTCAAAATGAGGATAATATCTTTTCCTTAAAAAAAAAAGGAAAACTTGGAAAATCAATCGTGCCTTTCCTCTCCAGACTATTACTCCATCTGTTCTATAATAATTGTTTTTTTTTTTTTAAATATTTTTGTTCCATATTATCTGTCACTTTAGATTTCCAATACTGCATTAAATGTATTTTTTCAACTATAAGTATTATCTCTCTTATTACATCATTAAATAATTAAGGTTATTTTAATCTTTATAATATATTTTACATAAAATCAAGATATATTTATTGAGCTTTTTAATACTTGTGCAAAGCAAAAAACGACACTTAATAGGGAACGGAGAGAGTATTTGTTAGTCTGGGTTGTCTTTCACCACCTCCATACGGATCTCCTATCACCGCCACCCCCACCACCACCGAACCCTCCACATCGATGCCACCGCCTCCTCCATGCCAACTCGTTGCCGCCGCCTCCACCACACCGACCTCCGCCACCTGCTCTACGCCGATTTCTGCCACCTCCTCCACACCTTGAGCCGCCGTCGTCAGCAATCTCTCCAATATCTTTCATCCGCTTGACGATTTTTCGACCGGCGATAGCTACAGATAGATCTAATTACTGCACCCTACAAAGAATCCAATTCCGATTCCGCAGAAATAGACTGCCACCACCTCCATGCTCACCACCTTCATTGTTGTTCCCACCATCCCCGCCACCGAACGCCACCGCCAACTTCTTTAGTTGGAGAGTCGGCGATGAATAACTACACACGACCCATTAATACACGCCGGAGCGGCGGCCGTAGGTGGCATCGCCACCAAGGGGAATTCTTCTTTGCTTGATGCATGGTGGACTCATTTTATCGCCGCCGCCGCCGGGGTAGGGGTGGGGAGTGGGGTTGAGGGGATTTGGGAAGAAATGCCGAGGTTTAAAATTATTTTATTTATTTATTTATTTAAGGGTAAATTACATACACCCCCCTGAGGTATGCTTACATAACTGTAAGGTCCCTGTGGTATCAATAATTACACTCAGCCCCCTGAA